AAAATTCATGTTGATGTGAAACCCTGTAAATGTAAGGAATGTGGAAAAACAGTTGTGCCTCATACCTTGTACATCGTGGCAGAATTCATACTGGTGAGAAACCCTGAGTGTAAGGAGTGTGGGAAGGCCTTTAGTTCTGGCTCTTACCTAGTTCAACATCTGAGAATTCATACTGGTGAGAAACCCTTTGAATGTAAGGAATGTGGCAAGACCTTTAGACTTAATTCCTTCCTTACTGAACATCAGAGGTTGCACACTGGTGAGAAACCCTTTAAGTGTAAAAAATGTGGGAAGGACTTTGGAGACAGTTCAGCCCTTAAAGCAATCAGAGAAACCATATGGGTGTAAAACCCTAAGAATTTAAGGAATTTGGGGAGTCCTTTATGTATGACTCAAACATTATTTAGCATCAGAATTTATGCTAATGAAAAACCTATATGTAAAAAATCTTGTAGGCCTTTAGAAAATATTCTCATAGTACAGAATTCATAATGGAATTCAGAAAACATAGGAAAGCCTTCATTTGTCATTCTTGTGTTTATAATATCAGAATATTCGGGATTGGTGGCCAATTCAGAAAAGGTAGGAAACTTTAGTACAGCATTGGTAGCATGAAATTTGATATGACCTATTCTATGGTTGAATGAACTAGTGAATAAAAAAAACCGTCCAGTTACTCTTAAATCATTGCTGAACTTCAGATAATCCATCCTAGTTAAAAAAACAAACAAAACCAGTTAATGTATATTGGAAAGCACACATCAGCTCCCATCATTGTCATGCCACTGCCTTCCAACCTGTTTGACCCCAGGCACCATACGTGCTATTTCAGGGCATTGCTTTAAAATGGTGGTATTAGAACCTACATACTCCTAAAAACCTACGCCTGATATTTATTAATTTTACTATTAGCATGTTTTTCAACTGCTAGTGAAATTTTGAGAGTAAGACCCTACAGGTGTAGTTAATTTAGAAATGCCCTGGGGCACGGATGGCTCAGTAGGTTAAGACACCGACATCGGCTCGGGTCATGATCTCACAGTCCGTGCGTTCAAGTCCCGCATCAGGCTCTGTGTTGACGGCTCGGAGCCTGTCTCAGATTCTGTGTCTTTCTCTGCCCCTCCCCCACTCACGCTGTCTCTCAAAAATGAATAAACATTAAAAAAATCTTAAAAAGTTAAATGCCTTTATATTCGTGTATCCATTTTATAATTTTAGGTAAATCTCTCTGGATAAAACTTTGTAGAAAGAAAGAAATGAGAGGATATTCATTTTGAAGTCATCCCTTAAATTGAATTAATGCTTGAAAGATACTCAGTCTTTCAATGTATGTGAAGTTGTTGAGAATAGCCTATAATCCTCATTCTTTGTCCAAAACTCAGGGTAAGTTGGAAATAATGAGAGAAAAATAGTGTCCACTTGGAAATTTCTTTTACAACATTTTTGTTAATAGAAATTTTAACAGAGAAAAGTTGAAAGAATAGTAAAATTGCCACATCTTTGGTAACATTTTGCCTTATTTATCTCTACTTATCTCTCCATGTATACATGTTATTTCTGCATGTAAGAGGGAGTTGTAGACTTCACTCTTAAATAATAGCCTTCTACTCTTTTTTTATAAAAAAATTGTTTAATGTTTATTTTTGAGAGAGAGAGACAGAGTACGAGTGGGGGAGGGGCAGAGAGAGGGAGACACAGAATCCATAGCAGGCTCCAGGCTCCGAGCTTCCAGCACAGAGCCTGATGCGGGGCTCAAACCCACAGACTGTGAGATCATGACCTGAGCTGAAGTCGGATGCTTCCCAACTGAGCCACCCAGGTGCCCCTATATACTCTTGAGTCCCACCTTTTTACATGATTTTGGGGGGAAAGTCCAAGGAAGTTGTGTTAGAGAATGCTTCACATTCTGTATTTGTTTTCTCAGTCACCTAACTTGTTCCTCTACCCAGATTTTTTTCTATAATTGGAAGTTACACAGATTTCACTGGGTTCTGAAGAACACTTCCAAGGTAATGCTGCAGTTTTTGTAAACACATAACCAAGTATTGAAACTTGGAGGGGCACCTGGGTGGCGCAGTCGGTTAAGCGTCCGACTTCAGCCAGGTCACGATCTCGCGGTCCGTGAGTTCGAGCCCCGCGTCAGGCTCTGGGCTGATGGCTCAGAGCCTGGAGCCTGTTTCCGATTCTGTGTCTCCCTCTCTCTCTGCCCCTCCCCCGTTCATGCTCTGTCTCTCTCTGTCCCAAAAATAAATAAACGTTGAAAAAAAAAATTGAAACTTGGATAGGGTAGTCACTGCTGGAGCTTTCCACTGTACAGAGGCTTCTTGCAATTAATGATCTGAATAGTGATAGTTTTAACATCTTGATTTGGGAAGTCACCACATGTATGCATAAGTTTGGGATTAAAGAGAAAACCAAAAATTATGAAATTGAGGTCTACTCAGAAAAGGTAATGAGATGCCTGTGTATCAGAAATTTTCATGTGAGGCCAGAACTGTAATTGGAACATTAATTTTAAAACAACAAAATTAATTAGAAAATTATTGTCACCGTGTATACAATTAACGAATCTGTGAAAAGAGGAAACAATCATATACATTTGTTCTGGGGCCATTTCTTGAAAAGAATTATCTTTCTCCATTGAGTTGCTTTTTGGAAATCAGACTACATAAATATATTCATTTCCAAATACACTTCTCATACCATTGTACCATGTGTCTATTATTCTAACAATACCGAAGAGTATTACTGCACGTTTCAGAACTGCTACTGCTTTGTTGAAAGTCTTTTTTTCAATTACATCTTTGCAGATCAAGTTGTCAATTGCCATGGGAGAAAACGTTTTGGGGAATTATAATGTGGAGTGTATTGAATCTATAGATCAATATGGGGATAATTCACTTCCATTAATTCATAAACATATATTTCCTTTTACTTAGGTCTTTAATTTCTCTCAGCAATGTTATGTACTTTTCAGTCCTCCACATATTTTGTTAAGCTTATCCTTTAGTGTGTCATAATTCTTGATATTACGATAAATGCTGTTGCTGAATATATAAATTTTTTTCTGTGTATCGACTTTGTTTCCTATGATATTAAATTTGAGTTCTAGTAGCTTTTCATAGATTGCTTAGATTTTTCTGTATACACAACAGTGTCATTTGTGAGCAAACACACTTTTACTATGTCCTACCCAGTTTGAATTTTCTTCTCGTGCAGCATTTCCTACGGTGTCCAGTACACCAGTGTTGAATAGAGCTGATGAAAATGGACATCCTTGGCTTTCATCAAATCTTGAGGGAAGCATTCAGTTCTTTACCGTTAAATATAATGTTAGCTTTTGATTTTTCATCCATGTCCCTTATCAGTGTGAGGGATTTTCCTTTTATCATTAAAATGAGTTGCACTTTGTCAAATGCTTTCTTTTTCAGCAATTGAGATTCTCATACAATATAAACATTTTTTTATACAGTGACTTACATTGATTTTCAAAAGTTGGCTCAACTTTTCATTCCCAAGATCATAGTGTACTTGTCATACATTCCTGCTTTCATTTTGCTAATGTTTATTAAGGAATTTCACATCTATGTTGATGAGGGAATTTTTTGTTTTTTATTTGGGGGTTATTGACATAATTTGCATATAGTAACATTCACCCTGTTTAGGTATACAGTTCTATATATTTTTTGACAAATATATACAGTCATATAACCATAACCACAACCAGGATACAGAATATTTGCCACCGCCCCCCCCCCCCCAAAAAAGTTCCTCCATGCTCTTGGGTAATTAGTTCCCTTCCCCCAACCCCAGGTCATGACAACTAACCTATGGTTTTGTTGTTTGCAGAATGTCATACAAATACAGTCAGTAGACTTTTGTTTCTGGCTTTTAGCACAGTGCACTTGTGATTCATCCATTTTATTATGTGTATAAGTTCATTTGTTTTCATTGCTGAGTCGTATTCCACTGTGGGTGAACCACAA